AGTATCACAGTCTAAAGAAAAGGAAATATGCTGATGATAATGATCAGTGCGCGTGCATACGCGCCTGCGTTCACCGGCACACAGTCCAAGCTCTGAGCCTGTGAAGAATGTTCCACTAGTAAAGGTGACCATTACAACCCCTTTCAGGTTTGTTTTCCTGCCCGTTTTCTGTCCACATTCATACCAAGTATTGCCAATGTCATTCTAAGGAGAAAGCGAAACGAGATCTAAACGTCATTAAGATGTACGGAGCCCCAGAGGAACCAACAGAGGAAAGGCACATATGCAGAAATGTGTGAGATACTGAACGCGCGAGAGCACATTAGCAGCTGCCTTTTTTAACCTTAAGCTCTAGGAACTAGAGAACAAAACCAACCAAACAAGCAAACAAAAACAATCCAAAAAACCATGACTAAATCACCACGGAGCTTCAGAGAAGCCAGAGCAACTTCCTGCCACGAGAATGCAATTCCCGAAATGAAAATGTTCCCGAGATTCATCAGAAAAGCTGAGGCATAATTTCAAGGTTCATAATTAAAAATTAACGTTGAATGCTGAATGAATCCTGCTTTCAAGCCTGCCAGTATATCACAAGGGAAATGTCCATAACCTCATTTCAAAACAAGGCTAAGTTTGGGGCCCTTTATGAATGTAAGATGAAACCAATAGACTCTTTCCTGCCACCTTCCCCTAGCCGCATGAGTAATTTGTTTTTCCTTATGCAAAAGAAAACATAGGAAAGAGGGAAATAAAGACAAGTGAAAGTGATAACAAGGAAAGACAGGTTCAGAATAGGGAAAGATGTAAAATGTAAATGACATAGCATAGATTTAGACATAGAAAACTTTGCAGAAGTTTCCAAAGCGCTATTTTTTATTAATATTAATAAATGACAGCCGAAGCTCTCAGGACCAACGGTGGCAGGAAACAAAAGAACAGGTCCCGCTTCTTGGCCTCACACAGCTAAACTCAAGAAGGGACACACAAGTGCGTTTCAAGCAGCCCAGGGTAAGATGCTGGTACAAGTACAGACTCTGGCAAAAGGAGCAGTTAAGGAGAAGACGTTTTAGATTTGCAAAACAAGATGACTTAAATACTAACATTACTATCACAATGAACCATGTGCTTGGCAGAATAAGCATTTATTAATTGTGCTTATTAGCCCATTAAATTTTACAAAAGTGATATAAGATCCTTGATGAGTGGGAAACAGCCCATAGAAAATATCACATAAGCAATACAAATTATGATAACTAGATGACATCATTGAATAATTACTAAATGATCCATGTGATAAAACCTCTATAATTTTTCAAGGTTATGACCAACCTGACCTGCCTGTTACTGCTGATAAAATTATAAATTTTGACTAAGCAATGACAACGTATTGCAAGAATAGTATGTTCTTTTCCTTAATGTTTGGGTGTGGGAGAGGGTTCACATCTGCGGTTGCACTCATATGTATGTTGTAAGCGTGTGTGTGTGTATGTGAGTGTAGTTGCCTGCTCCTGTGTTCACCTGTATCGAGGCCAGAAGAGGACAATAGATATCTGTCCTGTCATTGTTTTGTTTTGGCTTGATTAAATGGCAGTGAACTCTGCATATACATTTGTCTCTAATCGTTCCAGCCGTTTTCCTGTGGGGTTTGTTTTGGATACTGGAACCCAGGTTCCTGTGTGGAAAACACTGTTACCCACTTCGTCACCTCCCCAGCCCCTAAGATTCATTAGCAGTCATGCAATTTGATCATGCAGTCAAGGCTTAGAATTGATCTTTAGAAAAAATATAAAGAAAAAAATGACAATAATTAGAAAGTATACTGCAGTTATAACACCTTTAGTATAAAACTTGACTCAAAAATTAAATTAAAATGATAATAGAAATTATTTGGCATATTATAGCTCATGAAAAGGGCAGAATACTAAGTATATAAAAATGTTGACTATTACATTTAAAATGTTCACTATATTAAGGCATCTATATTAAAAGTAAAAATTAACTCCACGAATTTACGGAGATATTTATAATGTCCAAAACAAAGTATTGTTGTCTATGATTTATTTTATATTCTCTCAAACAAGAAAAAGACAAGACACACAATAGTGAGTAGTCAAAGCTCTTGGATAAAGCATTCTTGCAATGAAGAATTTGAGTGACTCTAAATGAACAATTAAAGTCACATTCAACTGTAATACCAATCAGTGGAATGGGAATGAGAGCAGAAACAAGGAAACAGTCTGTGGACACATTTTTTTTTTACTGTAGGAACAAAAGACTTGTCAACCTGACACTATTTTATTTTTTTTTATTTATTTTTAATTTATTTATTTATTAAGGATTTCTGCCTCGTCCCCGCAACCGCTTCCTATTTCCCTCCCCCTCCCCCGATCAAGTCCCCCTCCCTCATCTGCTTGAAGAGCAATCAGGGTTCCTTTTGACTGCATGAAAAGTAGAATGTTGGGTTGGCTTGGTTTGGGTTCTGGAGAAATAGAATCCCTTTTGCCATGCAAGACAAATGTGTGTGAGTTGCAGCAATCCTTCAAGAGCCTGTCAGTAGCACACAGCAGATGCCCAAGAAATTTTAATTCCTGAGATCAGTTCCCCAAGAGAACTTCTAACAGGTTCCAAAGAAACAATTATGTATGATTTTTTGTAATGTTTTAGATCCAAGAAGAGTGAGAGATAACTTGGGTGTTTGTGCCTGGGGGACTTGTGAAAATAAGTTTTGGTACAAATACATAATGGCAAGTGGGAGACAAAAAGGGTGAAATGGGCTTGATATAGCATCACTGTAGATATTATTACACTAATATTGGATGAACATGGCAAAAAACATGAGATTTTGAATATAAAACTGTTTATGCAACATAGAACACATTAATGTCCACATTATCATAAACAATTATTTTGTTGATTTGTTTCAAACACCACAAAAAAACCCCAAATAGATGTATGAATAAGGGATTTAAAGAACAGGAGCTTGATCTGAGAGTAGAAGAGAATATGAAATAAAACCACCTAGGGTTCTTGCCCCAATACAATATCATAGCGCTACAAACGAAGGGTATCATTAATTCAATTCACCACACCTGAGAGTTCTAAAACAAGAAAAACTAAACTTTGTAAAATTATAAAAAAAAAATCTGAAAGAATGCTTAGTGGCATACAAGCTGATTGAAAAACCAGTAAAATAGAGTACACACCAATGCTTATATGAATGTAAGCTTCTCTCTAGATGCTGTACACAAATTAAGTTTTTATGAAAAATAAAGCAAACGCACAGGGGTACACATACTGAAACACTATGCACCGTGTTTGTGAGAGTTTCCTGGGAAGGGGCTGCTCCCTGCCATTGATGCTTCTGATCCTTACTTCTAGGAGTATGTTACAAGACTGGCTAATGGGGTACGGAGGAGTGTGCTCCATGGAGCCACCACAGAAGGCCAATTGCTTTGTTTTCATGGCACCCCTGTTTGTGTGATGGTGGAGAGGAACAGTGACCAGTGCTATCATTGTTTCTGGCGCCAACACAGCAGGGAAGAATGAATGAGTGAGCTGGAGTTTCTTGTGTTGGGGTAGGGGTGGGGACTCATGTGGTTGGTTGTGTAACAAAGGGTTTTGGCCAGCTTGCCCTTGCTGTACCCTCCACATGCCTGAGTTTTGATTATGGGATGAGGTTCATGGGAAAAAAGGGTACACGGCTGAGCTAGTCAGGCAATGATTCTCACCTGTTGCTCTTTCAAAGTTTGACTGGCAGTTTTCCAGGGACAGAGAAGGCCAGACCTACAGCTGCTTTGCATTTGATCTTGTGCCTCTATGGTACTTTTGAAGAAAGGTGGCTGCCTGACTCCTACCAGGAAATATCTTTGGGAAGATCCAACCTTATCTCTTATTTAAAAATTAGAATAGCTAGCCGGGCGGTGGTGGCGCACGCCTTTAATCCCAGCACTCGGGAGGCAGAGGCAGGCGGATCTCTGTGAGTTCGAGACCAGCCTGGTCTACAAGAGCTAGTTCCAGGATAGGCTCCAAAACCACAGAGAAACCCTGTCTCAAAAAACCAAAAAAAAAAAAAATAGAATAGCTATTGTAGACACTGGAACTATTTCATTATTTTTTCTTTCAAATAAATATAAATTTCTGTCCACTATAGCCATTAAACCAAAGTATCTTTCATTCTCTAGTGATAGCCAAAGCATCTTTATAGTAACATATTGTGTAATGCAATTAACAGTTGTCCTATTGTATAGCTAATTAGAATATTGATCTTACTTAGTTATAACAGTAAAACACTCCCAAATAAATGTCTCTTAGTTCGAGTACTTCCATGCACCTTTATTACTTGTATATTCCATACTATAAAGCTAAATATAAAATACACAATGTATGAAATAGCAAAAATTCTAAAAGGGAGATGACTATTTTAAAGCCCCCCTATAAACAGCATAGCAAGCATCTTTCTTGACCCAAAAACCAACTTGTTGTTCTTTCTTGAACACTTTTATTGTTCCTGCCCTTCACTCCAGGAAGTTTTTTATAATTTTTTAAATTTCCCCCACCTATCTTTTGTTCATGGTTTTCTTTTTCTCTTCCTTTTTTTTTCTAAATAGTTTTTAATTTTGAGCTACAAATACAGTTCAAATCTATCCTTCATAAAACTTCTCTGGGTATTGCAGAGAGATCTTTATATGCTGCAAATGAATTCATTCAACAACCCAATCTGTTAATCCAGAAACCATGTTTCTCTTTTTATGTTTAAAGATTTCTAGCCCTAAGAATTTGAGGCATCAGCCATTTTTACATTCTGGGCAACACTATAGAATGCAATATCTTTCTTTAAAAAGTATAATCATTTTAACAATAAGGGTATCAACAATGGTAACAGAAGGAACTGTTCTAGTTAGGTTTGGGTGGCCTTGCGTCTCAAACATTATCAGTGATACAAGCTGAGGATGTAGGAGACTGTGCCGTTATGCAACAGAGAGTTGAAGAAGTTTCATTACCTCAGTTTCTTTCCTCCATCTGCAATTTTGGCTTTTTGAAGATACCCTTCTTTTTCAACCATCTGCAAGGAAAATACATATGTTAGCACTGTGACAAAGTCCTCTGCATTTCCGCATGAATGAACCCAAACTTTCTAAGCTAGAGTCATTGCAGTGATGGAAACTTCCCGCCCCAGAGCTTTATTAATAATACATACAAGACTTATGGGGAGTGAATACAAGATCAAAGTCTTTACTAACTCTGCGTGTCGAATGATAGATTGTGAGGATGTATGTGAATGGATTGTTTGATAGTGATAGAGCACCATGCACTTCCCCTTCTGTGTCAGGAAGTCACTTGCTTAAAACATTGACTTCAGTCTCTCCTTAATCTTACCAGAGAAGCTCTTCATTTATGCCCTCCCCACAAACCTGCCAAGGCCAGGAGAAAGGAAAGCATTAAATGGAACAAGAGATTGAGCCTGATGAGTCATGGGAAAACACTACGATAGCACCATTTTGTTCATTTTTCCAATTAGCCAGCGACAACGTAGCAGAGCGCTCACTGCCATCTGAGCTGTGTAACTGCTTCCCTTCTCCCCACTGGTACTGTTGGCTTTCATCCTAACACAGTTGCAAACTCCCTAAAGGGCATGCAACAATTTCCTACAACACAACAGAGGTGTTTGGTAAGTTCCAGGCAAAATACATACAAATGCAGATTATAAGATGTTGATTTGCAGCATAGTCAACAAGGTGCTTCAGTTTCTGGGTGGCACGTTTGTGCCCTTCTGACTGCCTCATACATCCTATTCCAGTTCTTTTCCTTGGCTCCTTTCAAAAGAGTAGTGTGTCACGCTTTCCTCATGCTCCATGTCTAACAACTAACGGTCATATTCCCTCAGAGCCACCAGTGGGATCCATATCGCTGAACACAATATTTTACCCAATGTAGCTCAAAAATTCTGATAATCCAAAACAAAATTTCAACCCATTTTAAATTTCTACCTGCACGGCTTTGGTCAGATGGTCTTTGCATCATGGGTAGAATTGCTTTTTAGGCTTCCCACTCCCAGTTTCCATTTTCACCGTTTTCTTATCACTCTGTTAACACCTATCAGATAATGCTGCAGTGGCTGGCTTATTTACTTACACCTGCTCCCATGCTATGAGTCCACTGAAGGCAAATGATTGTCTCTTTCATATTCTGTGGGAATCCAAAATTACCCCAATTGGATTGTGTGAACAAAAACATGAATGAGTGTATGCATGAATGATATTTACATTTATAGAGCAAATTGTAAAAGTCAAAACTGTTCATTGGTGAGTGGAAAAGACAGTTTGGAGTAGTGAGTTCTCAAAGACTAACATGGTACCAAATAAAGTATTGCCCCTTGTAAGACTTGCTCTGCTATAGATAACGCATATGTGATCTTTCCCTGATTCCTACATTGTTTTATTCCTAATGGAGTGGAAAGTACTGAGCTTTCAAGAAACATTTGATAAGTATATTTTATAAACTATAAAAAGTTATTTCAGTAATGACAAATGTAAAATAATTTTCATATAGGTTGAGATTATGTCTCTTCTTTCAGTTTGCTTTCCACAAGTCTAAAGAACCCAATGATGCTTTCAGGGTTGAGTTTTCGAATCATAGTGCTCATGGCATTACCACTCTATGTGTAGATGTATCTCTTCATGTGCTTTGACCACCCTCTTATTCTAGGAATACTGTCCATCTCTTTGGTAACAGAGAATTTTGTTACTACTTAAATACCATTTAAGTGTAGCTCTAGGCATCACTGATGTCTATAAATTCTAGAAACAAAAACACTTCCAGTAGTCATTAGCATCACAAAGGAAGTCCCTTCTATTATCAATTACTTTGTTTAACTTCTTATGAAGATTAAGAGTTACCCAAACCCTGAAATATTTAGTATTAAAAGCTATGAAAAACCTCTCAATCCATTCATATTCTCAACTAAGATGATTGCTTTTTCAGAAATATTTCATGCAAGACCCCCAGTTGGTCATTTAGAAAACTGTATTGATGGTAACTATGTAAAGGGAAATGTGCAAGGACAACATTGATATCCACACAAGACGAGACCACTGGAGCATGTTTGAGGTGAGGTGTAAAAAGGTCTCTCCCAGTTGGACCTTTCTCAAGCCACTTGAAGTAGGTAGCCAAAGGCTTTTTCATGTTAGGACTCAGTAAATATGTTATCTCTGTCATTAGTGGCAGAATAATTTTCCAAGGGCACTGGTCAATATTATGGAGTCTTCAGGAATGACCTTCTAGCTATCCTGGGAGAACAAGGGAGAAAAGCTGAATAGCAAGTTAGGTCTTTACTTTCAAATTCCAACATGCCTTTCAGGCCACAGGCAGACCTTAAAAATTGTAACTTCGCAGTATTTTCTGCTATTAATTCACTTAGTACCACCATGAACAGCTGTACATTTCTAAGTGTATGGTGCATACACACACATATAAATGTGTGATATGTACGTGCTTGAGCTTCACATCCATGTCTTACCATCTCTCTCAAACATATGTGCCCTCTTCAGGAATCAGATTTCTCTCTAGACATTGTTTCTCTTTTATTCTTGATGCACATTCGCTGCCTTGACAGTGTTTCAATTAATGATCCTCCATGTCCTCAGATAGCCACTATGCACACACAAGAGTTGCTAGATTCATGAGACAAGCCTTGTCTTACTACAGCTTAGTCTCTATGGGCTCACATCAAGACATCCCTTCTTCTTGGAGGACTGACAACACTATTCCACTCCTCTGAGATTACCCTTTAAATGGGACCGATAAGTTCCAGTTGACTTATTGCACTGAACAGGCTGCCTTGTTCAGGTGACACACTGGTGAAAAAAGGCTTCTATTGGATAAACTTAATTATGTGACTATCTAAGGGATTGCCATCATATATTGAAATTTCCCTTGTTCTTCATACCAGGAAGCAGTCACAGTGAGCGGTTTAGGCTGAGTGGAAGGAGGTATTAGGGTAAACATAAGATTGCTAAGGATTGTACATCTGGATTTATACATAGTACCTTATTAATTGTTTTCATAGTCACATGGCCTGAAAGAAGAATGATTATGAATTTCAGTTTATAGTTCAGACATCTGGGGCTCAGATTGTCTTGTCTTCAATGATTTACAAAGTTATATATGGGCTTTAAATTTAAGCCTAGGATTCTTCCCATGCCAGATTCTAGGCCAAACTGAAATTCATTAAAGGAATCCTAGCACCCAAACCACGTATACTTAAGAAATATCAGCCAGTCTTTGGATGCTAAATGTGGCTTTTGGAGCTATTTTTTCAGTGCCGGCTAGAATCCCTATTTAACATTGCGTGGCAGGAAAGATCAGCAATTTGTCCAGGCTGGATGCCAGCCAGTCTGCCAGTACTGAGGAAGTGCTTCAGCAGCATCCTGTGTGCTGAGACACAGCTGACGAGAATGAATGGCAGTGGAATTCCATGATGGTACCTGTTTATAAACCTAGGCAGGTCATGACAGACAGGGAAACAGGGATGGAGAGGAGAGAAATTTGATCGATGGGTACAAGTCTAACAAACATGAGCTTGCAATCTCTTAAACAGACACTGCAGGGTTTTCGTTTGTTTGTTTGTTTCTTTCTTTGTTTACATGAATGTTTCATGTTACCATTTTCAAATGCAAACAATAGGTTCACCTATCTATACTGGTACTGGTACACTGTACAGTTTTGCTAAAATAAACTGAGCTAAATTGGAAACTTTCTGGCAATTTGGTTGAGAATTTGGCTTTCAACCACACAGTTTTTTTGCTTTATAATATCTGCTCTGATGATGGGTTTCATTTTTTAGTCTCCCTCTTTTGTTCTTAGTCTGTGTTTGTTGACAACCACTGACACCATATTCAGCTTCTTAGGTCACCTGATACAGAAATCCCGTGTCTCGAGTAGTGAGAGTCAGAATGACCCCCTACTCACCCAATAGATGCAATTGGCAAATAGGATTGCTTTTTCTGTGCTACAAGTTTGAGAAAGGCCTCAAATTGAAGCTGGGGTGGTCCCTTGAAAGGAGGTTTTACAATGTGAGTCGTGGCTGGCAGATTGTCTAAAGAACATTTGCAACATTACTCCATGACTGCAGCCCTGGACCACTGTAATTCTCAAACACATAGCATTCACTTACTTTCACATATAATAATAAGATGACTACTGAAGTTATAATAGCACACAGTGTTTTGCTGATAATCATATTTGATGATTTCTGTTTAAAAATCAAATGAAGTAGGGAAGAAAGCAGAGAAAAATGTAGAGCTCAATAAAAATAACTAAAAATGCAGAAAAAGTCAAATGAAGATATTCTTTGTCACATCATTTTGTTCCCTCCAATGCTTCTCTTTCATTCTGTAAGCATCTTTTACTTTGCTTATATACTCAGAAAGAGACATTTTGTTCTTTTATGTGTGTATGTGCTTTCTTTTCCTTGACATTTTTCTCAAGTTACACTACGATACTAATCTTGATTGTTAATTTGAACTGGATGCAGGAAATACTATGAGATTACACAAGCACACCTATGGGTATGACTGTGAAGACATTTCTAAAGGCATTGACACATTAATTCAGATTTTAATACATTATTAACAAGTAGTGGGACTGTGCGAGCTAGCTCTTGGTTAAAGGAAGTGGTTCAATGGGCAGGGAGCAAGAGAGAATAGAGGGGATGGAGAATGAGAGGGACAGTGGTGAGAAGAGTTGGAGAGGTTCTTGGAGACTTGGCTTGCTCCTTCATGTTGGCATTCTGGTCTTCTTCTTGTTTTCTATGAAGTGAAAAATTTCTTCTACCACATATTCCTGCTGCTGCTGCTAAAGCCCAGAAACCCAAGACTTAGCACTCTAAAAACGTGGCATAAGTGAAATGTGCCCTTGGGTATTTTCTTTATTGTATATATTTTTTTTATCATAACTGCAAGAGAATTATCAGACACGTATACACACTTGCAAACACAGATATGCAAATATACATATTCTCTCACACACAAACCCCCACAATCTCATATACATATACATTCCTAC